AATTTAATTTTTGGGGTGGTGTGGGCATTGCACCCAAGGTTCTACCACTGAGCCTCCTCCCTCTAGTATAATGTGACTAATATGTGAAGCCATGCAACATTTAAATGTAGCATCTATCAACACAGCTCTTCCAAAGATCTCTTAAGTTATAACTCCCTCTCCCTTATTTCTCATGATATGCGTTAGAAAGACCACTTTATTTATTCACTGGAAGTTGTCTCATCTTCCTGATGGACATGTTCTTCCCCACACATTGGGGCCCCGAAGGCTCTCTGGGTAAGGTTGATGAGTCAGCTCTCGTGTTTGTCATCCCCAGGTGTTAGTCATCTGAAAATTTCTCATCTTCTGTCCATTGACTTTTCTTCCCTTTATGATCATTGCCTACGTTCATTACTTCACGAGGACTTTCAAAATGATGACTCCACTTTTGGTTTTGTGAGCATCATAGATCCAGGTGTATTTGTAAGAAATGAGCCAGAGAGTTCCTTTATGCCCTTATCAAAGCTTTTTGCAAATTTACTTCTCTTTGCCCGTTTCCCCCCACCAATTTAGAAGGATTCTCTGGGGTTAGAAAAAAACACTGAGACAGACTGTCCTGAGGATAACTGAAGGTGTGACACTCCTCTGGGAGAAGTTGCTGAAACCTTCTCTTGGTTCTGGTCAAACCAAGACAGCTTTTGTACTGATAAGAATCAAGAATCTTCAGTCCCCAGTGTGACCATTCTAGCTGATGATCAGTGGAAACTGGGCAGTGAAGCCCTCCTCAAATTCTAGCCTCCTGCCTCTCTGTTACCATACCAGAGACACATTTTCTTGACCTGTGACATATATTTATTGCTTCTCAATGCTGCATGCTCCCATTCTCCCTCCTGTCTGAGTTTCCTCACCCAGTGAGACCCCGTCCCCTCTTCTCAGAGCTGGTGGTGCTGGTGCGTGGTGCTGGCGGACAGCCTTCCTGGCTTAAGTTGGTTTCTTGCCGATAAAGCCCCTTTCTGTCCAGTTGTGCCTGGACAGTTGTGCCTGTGCATTTCCAGACGGCTCTCTTCCTCAGTTTCCCCAGTGCGAACACCGTGCTTGAGCCGAGTTCCCTGTCATGGTCAGGGAACGGACACTGAGGAAACCCATGGACAGTCTTCGGGTTTCACTAACCTCTCCCTGCCCTTGTGTTTGTTCTGCGTGCAGAGGCATTGAGTTCTGTTTGCATGTGCATTTAGTTCTATGCAGTTCCACCACATAGGTAGGTAAATGTGGGTGACACCACAGTCAAATGAGAACAGTCACCAGGATCGCTCACTCTTCCTTTCAGCCACAGACTTCTGCTGCCCCCCGGCCCCCATCTCCCTGCCCCAGCGGTACTCATCTGAACGGTGGCACAGTCGCGTTGACCACCTGCCCTGCAAGTCTAGTGGGGTCACGAGTGCAGCCCCTGCTCCCCCATCCCACACCTACCCAGGGTTGCCACACGTGCTGAGTGTACCCCTGGCTGGCGCTGCAGCCAAGTATGTGCAGGCACCACAGAGGGGTGAGACCCCCCAGGTGAGCATCACGACTAAGAAGACATGTGAGCACAGTGGCCAGGGGGTGTCACCCCTCACCACAGTGCTCACAGGTTTGAGCACCGCAGCAGAGCTTCTCAGCAGGAATTTGCACACCTCAGCTGGAGTGCAAGCTCTGGTGAATATGTGTGTGCAAGCGTCTTGACTATTACAGTGCAAACCTTGGGGAGCACTGTAGCTGAGTATATGAGCACCGAAACCTGATGGGCAGCCCCGGTAATGCACAGGGTTACTCCTGGCTCATGCACTCAGGAATTACTCCTGGCGGTGCTCGGGGGACCCTATGGGATGCTGGGAATCGAACCCGGGTCCGCTGCATGCAAGGCAAACGCCCTACCTGCTGTGCGATTGCTCCAGCCCCGACACTGTACCTCTGGTCCTACTCCTTTATGTTTTATAACTAGGGCTGCTGTTCTTCCCCCCCGCCCTTTCTTTTTGGTGTCTTTGTTTGCAACTTTTATTTTCCGTGAGAATTTTAGAAATATTTACGACAAGTTCCCCCAAATTATCCTTTCACATTTTGAATGAGGCTTTATTTGTAAATTTAGGGGCGACTTATTTCACTTGTGGGGTGGGGGCATTGGGTCACACCTCATGGTGCTCAGGGCTTACTCCTGCCTCTATGCTGAGGGCAGTGCTCAGGGAACCATACGTGGTGTCGGAGGTCAAAACAGGGTCAGCTGTACAGCGGGTAAGGCAAGCAAGCTAGCAAGCGCCTCATCCACGGTACTATCTCCCTGACCTTGGGAGAATTGATTTCTTTTTGCCTCTAAGCTTTCATGGTTTTGTACAGTGTTCTCTCATTCATTCAGCTCTTTTTTTTATGTCCTTGATAATATTTTATTAAATTATCCCCAAGTTTATTGTTTTCGGTTTCTCTGCCTCTTCATTTGAGTAATGCCTTTAACATTTTTATCGGATTCTTTCTTTTTCAAAGCAGATCAATACTATCGACATTCCGTGCTGTAAGCCTCCCCAAAGCAACAAGTTGTATTTCCCACAGTCCCCAAGGCAAATCAGGATTTTGGCTTCCTCCTGACAGTGGCTATTATTATCAGTAGTAACTGAGTGAAAATTACAGCACATTTCTGATGAAAGCTCACAATACATACATTGCTGACCAAAATGAGATAAATGCAAATCTGGTGTTTTAAATGGAAAATTTCAGCTAATTAAGTGTGACACTTGAGCAGCACTTTATTAAGTGGAAGGCTTGGGGGAGAAGCCTACAATTATAAAAAGTTTTCTAAAGCCTGCGTGTTCTAGCCAGTCTGGTTTGGACCATTTGATATGATTCATAGCAGTACTCCTGGGTGTCTGCCCCCTACACGAAGGCCTTTATGCTCAAACATGTTCTATTTCTACTCAACTATTCATAGAAGCAGCTACTTTTTTGTTTGTTTGTTTTGTTTTGGGACCACACCCAGCAGTGTGCAGGATTGACTCCTGGCTCTGGGCTCAGATCACTCCTGGTGGGCTGGGGGTATCGTATGGAGTACTGGGGATGAAATCCAGGTCAGTCTTGTTCAAGGCAAACACTCATTAATTATACTAATTATAAAAATTATAATGGAAATTATTTTATACATTAAAGCATCTCTAGCTTTTATATATAAATATGCTACGTAGTCTCAAACTTAATAAAATATTAGTATTACTTGTGTATATTATGAAATATTTCAGATACACCAAAGGCATAAGGAATGGGATAGTATCCTTACACCGAATATTTGAGTGGGGATTGGGCCACACCCAGCAGTGCTCAGTGGTTACTCCTTGCAGTGCTTGGGGAACCATATATGGTGCCAGAGATCAAACTGGGATCAAGAAAGGCAGACACCTTAACCCCTACATGGAATATTTCTGGCCCTACATAAAATATATATATATATATATATATTGCTTTTTGGGTCACACCTGGCGATGCTCAGGGGTTACTCCTGGCTCATGCACTCAGGAATCACTCCTGGCAGTGCTCGGGGGACCCTATGGGATGCTGGAAATCGAACCTGTATCGGCCATGTTGGCTGCGTGCAAGGCAAACACCCTACCTGCTGTGCTATAGCTCCAGCCCCCCTACATAGAATATTTTTAAGGTGTAAAATATTGCCACAGTAATTGAAGGACTCTCATCCTTTTGCTTAATTTTATAATCCATAATTCATTCCTTTCCATCTAAGAGAACAATTTTGCTTTGAATTTGTTGTTTGTTTGTTTGTTTTTTGCTTTTTGGGTCACACCTGGCAATGCACAGGGTTTACTCCTGGCTCATGCACTCAGGAATTGCCCCGACCCACGAGACTAGTCAACGTGGATAACCAGGAGAGGGTGTGCGAGTGGGGGGGGGGGGGGAGAGAGAGAGAGAGAGAGAGAGAGAGAGAGAGAGAAGCATGGGAGCAAGTCAAGACTCTGATCAAGCTCCAAATTTATTTCTCCCAAGCTAGCCTTTTACAATTAATTACATGAGGAAGTGGGCAAAAGTGGGAAATTAACAAAGCATGCAGATTTTCAATAAATCATGGTGTGAGCCCTAGCGGTGGGCTCATGGCACTTATCCCATGCATAGCTCAAAAACTTACACAATTATTTTAACACTTTTCCAAGAAGAGATTAGTCTTATATTGCAGGTCAGGCTGTACTTACATTTTGGCTCCTGGCAAGGAATTACTCCTGGCGGTGCTCAGGGGACCATATGGGATGCTGGGAATTGAACCTGGGTCAGTCGCGTGCAAGGCAAACGCCCTACCTGCTGTACTATGGCTCCAGTCCCTGTTGTTTGTTTTAGGGCCACACCCAGTGATGGTTACTCGGGTTATTCCTGGCTCTACACTAAGGAATTACTCCTGGCCATGCTCATGGGACCGAATGGGGTACTGGGGATTGAACTTGGGCCAGCCACGTGCACGGCAAGCAAGCGCCTTACTTGCTGCTCTGTGACTCCAGCTCTAATTCTGCTTTTGAAACATCACAAAAACCATGTTTTTGAACTTTGTATGAACAGTAGTATTCTTTGGCCACTTTCCTGTTTTTTATTTAGCTGTGAAAATTGTCTCCTTTGTCAGTCATTGGGGTCGTTGTTGCTTCAGTGACCAGCGTGTCAGTACAGGTGTTGGTACTTTCTAGGCATCACTGCCTTAAATTGTCCTTGCACAGACCTGGCCATAGTGTGCCAGAAACTGAACATTTTGTTGTGGGACGAGGGATCATTCGCAGCACAGGAGTGGTGCCAGTAACCAAACTCTGAGCTGCAGACTTGCATGCTACTGTATTATCTGTGAGGTGCCTTTATGTTGATGTGTAACATGCTAGTTCGTTATTATTGCTGAACTGTTCCATTGTTGAAGTATGTCATAATTTGCTATCTAATCTAGTCTCCTATGAATGGGCATTTATTTTTTTTCCAGTTTTTGCACTGACCATGTTCCTAATAATGTGTTTTTACAGTTCTCCTGGTACACAAATGTGAGTCCCCTACCTGGACTGAAATTACTAGAGAGAAAGGTATGTGTCTTTTCAGTATGCTAGAAACTTCCAAATTGATGCTCATAGTGGTTGCCACTTGGCTCTCTCCTTCACCCTTGCCAGTACTAGGTATTATCAGAGTTCTTGTCAGTCATTTTGAACTTCTGGTCACTAATGAGATTGCTCATGGTTCACATGATTTATTGGTAATATCGATATTTTCCAGTTAATTATACATTATGGTTTAAAATTATGTAGAGACTTGAAAGTATCATGGTATGGTTATACCAGTTAAGAAGATATAACAATTGTATCTTAAATATTCTGTACCTTTGCAGACTTTTGAGTAAATGATTTGGGTGATTATCTAGTTATGGACATGAACATGGACTTTGGACATTAAATAATGCTTAAATCCTGGCTCCAGACTCCTTTTTTTTTTATCAGCTTTATGACCTTGGGCCATTTGTTAACTCTCTCCTAGTCTGTTTGCTCATCTAGTTTGGAGAGAGAATTAAATGATGTAGCATGGAGAAATTGGCAAATAGGCCCGTGCAGAGCTTCTTGAAACATTTCCACTCACTACACCTTTTCATGTAAGAACTTTTGATGCTACCCCAGGTACAAAAATCGAACATTTACTGGCAAAAACAAATCATAAACTTGTTTCATTTTTGGCTTGGGGGCCATATCCAGGGGTGCTAAGAGGGGTATTCTTGGCTCTTTGCTCCAGGGTCACTTCTGACTTTGCTCAGGGGGCCATATGTGGTGCTGGGGATGGAACCAAGTTCGCCATATGGAGATCTTATCCCCATACTATCTCTTCTGCCCCATAAACTTACATTATTGGTGGTGGTGGTGAGGGAGTTGGGGTCACACCTGGCAGTATTCAGAGGCTGCTCTTGACTCTGTGCTCAGGGCTCACTCCTGGGGGTACCCGTGGTGCCACAGGTCAAACTGGACTAGTTACATGCAAGGCAAATGTATTAATCCCTGAACTGCTTCTCCAGCTCCATAATTAAATGTTTATTTGGGTTTGGGGGTGGGTTGGGCCACTTCCAGCTGTGCTCATGGCTTACTCCCAGCTGTGCTCAGAGAACACTCCTGGCAGTGCTTGGTTGGACCATGTGCAGTGCCCAGAATCAACCAGGGATTTGTTGTTTGCAAGTCAGGCATCTTAATCCTTATTCTACCATTCCAGCCCTCACACATTTCCTTTGAAATAAAATTTTTGTGACCTCCACATTTTCCTGCATCACCCATATGGCCAATATACATGGTGTAAAAAACTGGCGCTTGTAGGTATATTTAGGATGAAATAAGCTCCAATAAGCTCAACAATTGTGTAAATGATGGATAATAACATGACATAGAATTAAATTATCTGTAAATGCTGGCAGCACGTAGGAGATTAAAATGCAACTTGGGGGCCAGAGAGATAGTACAACAGGCAGGGCATTTGCCTTGCATGGTCCCCAGCACCATGTATGGTCCCCCGACCCCTACCTGGTGGGATTCCTGAGCACAGAGCCAGGAGTAAGACCTGAGTAACATTAAGTTGTGGTACCCTCCCTCCAAACAAACAAACAAAAAACCCAGAAAGATCAGAAATAAAATGCTGCCTGTGAGAGTCGACTGTGATGTGGTGTGGTGTGGGGTGTGTGTGTGTGTGTGTGTGTGTGTGTGTGTGTGTGTGTGTGTGTGTATGTATGTGTATGTGCCAGGGATGGAACACAGGGTTCTATATACCCAAGGCAAATGCTCTGCCATTAAGTTACGTCCTGACCCTGAATGGATTGTTGTCATTTTATTTTCTTAATTTTTAAATTTTATTTATTTATTTATTTTTTTGGCGGGGTGGGGTGAAGGGGATCACACTCAAGACTGATTTCTGGCTCTGTACCCAGGCATCACTCCTGGCAGTGCTCAGGGGACCATATGTGGTGCTGGGAATTCCATCTGGGTCGACCCTGTGCAAGGCAAATGCCCTACGTGCAGTTCTGTCTTTCTCTTGTCATTTATTTATTTTTTTTTTATTGAATCACCGTGAGAAACAGCTGCAAGCATTCATATTGGAGTTTAAGTCATACAATGGTCAAACACCCATCCCTCCACCATTGCACATTCTGCACCACCAATGTCTCCAGTACAGCCCCCCACCCCTTTCCAGCCCTCCCCTAACACGCCGATACTCAGTGAGGAGGGCAGATCCTGAGAGGTCATGTGGTCACGCGCATGCAACTGGCAGCCATCGTCACCGCTCCCCATACTCACACTCCGTGCTGTGTTCTTCTGTGCCTGACAGCTTTTTTATTTTATTTATTTTATTTTTGCTTTTTGGGCTAGAGCGATAGCACAGCAGGTAGGGTGTTTGCCTTGCATGCAGCTGACTCGGGTTCGATTCCTCCGTTGCTCTCATAGAGCCTGGGAAGCTACCAAGAGTGTCCTGTCTGCACCGCAAAGCCTGACAAGCTCCCCGTGGTGTATTCCATATGCCAAACACAGTAACAACAAGTCTCACAATGGAGGTGTTACTAGTGCCCACTCAAGCAAATCGATAAACAATGGGAGGACAGTGCTACAGTGATTGCTTTTTGGGTCACACCCAGCGATGATGCACAGGGGTCACTCCCGGCTCTCACTCAGGAATCACTCCTGGCGATGCTCAGGGGAGGGGGGGGGTGGGGGGAACCGTATGGGATGCTGGGAATCGAACCCGGGTCGGCTGCGTGCAAGGCAAACGCCCTACCTGCTGTGCTATTGCTCTAGCCCCAGTGCCTGACAGCTTTGTGCCACAGCAGTGACTGTAACAGCTGTCCAGGAGCACAGTGGACAGGTGGCACTGACCTTGGGATCCTGATAGATAGCCAGGAATCTGACCAAGGTATGGGAGTCCACTGTAGGAACCGTATGGATGTCGGGAACTGCACAAGGAAGTGCATGTTTGGGCTTCATCGGGAGTTGATTCTTTTTTGTATCCCTTGTCCAGGAACTTCTTCACATGGCTTCGGAAGGAGTGACCATTACAGTCCGCCTCATTCGTTCCTTTGAGCATCGAAACTTCAAGCCTGTAGTTTACCACAAAGTTAATTTGGACCAAACCGTAAAGGAATTTATAGTCTTTCTTAAGCAAGGTATGAGTTATGTTTTTGCCCTTTTTGTTAGTATTGGGGGGGTGGGGTGGGGGAAATTGACTAATACATTTAACAGTCTTTTCAGAAATACTTTGGAAGGCATTTATTTCAGTTTAAGTCAGGCCTCTTTGTGGTAGAAGTTCCTCCCACAGACTCAGCAGTGCGACTCTTCCCCAGAGAGTAGTGTCATCCATTTGGCTCCTCCTCGCCCTTATTTAAGATTTAAAAATGGTCAGGTCTGGGTTTTCTGGTAATGAGCTTATCTTGGAAGTTGGTTCATAAGGGGGTGATTTGCAGCAAATTATGTTTGTTATCTGCCAAGCCCTTGGAGGAGGAAGCAGGAAGGTGTCTGTTTTCCTATTTGCAGGAGACTGTCAGGTGCTCCCAGAAGTGACCACACTATCTGGAAGGCCTTTTTTCATTTGCAACTACCAATACAGCAAGCGGGGCATTCATCTTCATGTTGATAGACTGTGGGTGGGCTTCTAACATCTGTGTCCTGATTATCTACACCGGGGAAAAAAAATTCTTGACTGAAACCAAATTTCACCTGATGCAGTGTACAGATCCTGTTGTACTGCTCATGAGTTTTGACAAAGGTATCACTTTATAATCTATTTTTAAAAATTTTTTTTTTGGCTTTTTGGGTCACACCTGGCGATGCTCAAGAGTTACTCCTGGCTCTACACTCAGGAATTACCCCTGGTGGTGCTTGGGGGAACCATATCTGGGGATTGAATCCTGGTCAGCTGCAAGCTGCAAGCCCTCTCTGCTGGACTGTTGCCCCCATATCCATCTTTTATTTTGTTTTTAAACTTTGTCATAGTTTCAGACACAGAGAAGTTGCAAAAACTGGACCAAGAATTCCTGAGTGGCCTTCACAGAGATCTCCCAAAGTTCACACTTTGTTACACTGTGGTTTGGAGGTGGGAGGGGGGCATCAGGGTTGCCTCCGGAGATGTGTGGGAGACCTTCTTTGCCGGAGATCAAACCCAGCCCCAAGCATGCAAGGCCAATAATCAGCCACTGAACCTCACCCTCTTCTTCGTCTTAGAACCACTTTTTTGGTTTGCCACTTTTTTTTTTTTTTTTTAGAAAACAACTCAGTCCCCCTTGGAAATTGACCCCCTCTTTAGGAAGGAACAAACAGGAATTTTTCCCTACTGCCCTCCCCCCAATGTTGTTCCAGCATAACCCCGCCCCCCTTGGAAAGCACTGCTGCACTGATTTATAAGTATGTTGCTGATAAGATTCCTTTTATTTCATTCAATGTTCCTACGTGTATTTCCTGAGTACAAGGAATTCTTGACACAAATAACATAGTGAGGCAGAGCAGGGATTTCATACGGAAACCATACTGTCATCTGACCTACAGATTTTAATTGTAACAGTAAAGTCTTTTTGGAACAGAAAGGGTTACAAATGACTTCAGTCGGAGGCTATCCTTTTTCTATTCCTTTTTCTATTTCTGCCGTTACTTTTGTGCATCCAACCTTATTTTTCCCTCTTGGCAGTGGAGGTGGTGTTGCCTGGGCTCCCCCCAGGCTGGTCACAGCGTTTTAACAGTGGGGTGTAGCATGTAGAGCCAGTCTGATGCCAGGTGATGTGATGTGGGTCAGTGCCAGGGTTGAACTCGTCCCCCGCATGCAGTGTGAATTCTCTGCCCCCGAGTCACACCCCAGAGCCCCCAAATGGAATTCCTGTATTCTGGAGTCTTTTATTATATTTTGTAATACTGGCCGTTTTGAATAGTGCAGGCCAGTTCTTTCACAGCGTTTCTTCACTGCAGTTTTTTTTTTTTTCTGATGTTCTCCCATGATTTACTGTCACTGTTATCCTGTTGTTCATCGATTTCCTCGAGCAGGCATCAGTAACGTCTCCTTCGTCCTAGCCCTGAGATTTTGGAAAGTGCCACATTTGAGGCTCTTTCAGGGTCAGGAGAATGAGACCCATCATTGTTACTGGTTTTTGGCATATTGAACACGTCACGGGGAGTTTGCCAGACTCTGCCATGTGGGCAGGATAATTTTGGTAGCCTGCCAGGTTCTCCAGAGTAAGAACAAGATAATAAGATGTCACGTGGCCACGCGCTTCCAGGAGCTGGGTTTTATAGTCTCTGGGTCTTGGCCATTGATGGGATTACACGGCGCCGGGGGCAGTTGGTGGGTGTAATGCCTACATACTGGAAAATGGGGGTTCTGGGTGGAGGAGGCCCAGTCCCAATCCGAGCAGGCTTGGAGATCTATGCCCCAGGTCCCGCACATCTGGGTTCCTCTGCCGGTTCCTTCATGCATGAGGCTTGTCTGAACGTGTGGAGAGTGGTCTTAAGCATGGCTGTGGCTGGAACCGGAGGTCTTCAGCTGCCGGGGCTCTGCTGGGGGTGGGGAGGGAAACTCAACCTACCCTCCTCCAAAGGGCCCCAGTGAGGACAGCCAGGTGCAGAGGCAGGAGACTCTGTGCTGTTCTCTTCCAGGAACTGGGTTTTATAGTCATGTAATCCTATCAACGGCCAAGACCCAGAGACTATAAAACCCAGCTCCCATGATTAGATTGAGTTATGTCTTTTGGCAGGGATGTCACAGAAGTGAGCCTGATTGATTCCTCAAGGCATTTATCTAATCCCATGGACAATAATGGTTACTTTGATCAGTTGCTTAAGGTGCTCTCTGCTGGGTTTCTCCTCTGTGAATTTTAATAACACGTGTGTGTGTATGTGTGTGTGTGTGTGTGTGTGTGTGTGTGAGAGAGAGAGAGAGAGAGAGAATTTTAATTATAATTGAAAACTCTCTCCGTGTGTGTGTGTGTGTGTGTGTGTGTGTGTGTGTGTGTACTGAATACCCAACTATTTCTCAATCTTTCACCACCAGATTTACCACTTTTTAAAAAAAAATTTTGACCACATACGGTGGTTCTCAGGGGTTACTCCTGACTCTGCACTTGGGGATAGCTCTTAGCGGTGCTCAGGGAATCTTTTGGGATGGTGGGGATCCAAGCCCGGCTGCATTAAGGCAAGCGCCCAACTTGCAGTTCTGTGGCTTCAGCCCCAGATGACCATTCTTGGTTCTTGTTTCATTCAGTTATTATAGTTGGTGGGAAATGGCGATTATTTTCTTATTCTGTCATTCCTTTTACAGATATTATTTACTTTTCTGAAGTAAGAAAGAACTATTATATCCTTCCTCCATTTATTTTATCATTTGTTTACGTGGCTGTGGATACATGGATTATTTTACTTAGGTGATTATAATACTTTTTAAAAATGCATTGAATTCTGACATTTTCCGTTTATTTTGTTAAAAAAAAAAGCCTTTCTTTTGGTGGCTGCAGGGGATCAAACCCAGGGCCTCACCCGTGCTATAAGATGAGTCTTCCCCTGAGTTACAGTCCCAGCTGGACTTTGTAAATAATTGGAGCTCTTTCCCCCTTCTCTCTCTCTCTCTCTCTCTCTCTCTCTCTCTCTCTCTCTCTCTTCTCTCTCTCTCCCTCTCTCTCTCTAACTTTGGGTGCTTTCACTGACTTGTATTACCTGAGTATGGAATATGTAGGTCTGTAAATCCACAGAGCAGTCAATCTGCTTGTAATGCTTATAAAACATTTCCCAAGGAGAATATATAATTTTTAAAATGATCATAAGCTTTCTTATAGTAGATGCATTTCTTGCCCTGTTTCCAGATTTTCAGGGAAGATTAAGAATTGGTGCTAAGGTATAATGGCAGTTATAGAGTGTCTCTTTTTGGTTTTTGTTGCCACATCTGACTGTGCTCAGAGAGTCTAATGTGGGTCAGATGCAAGGCCAGCATCTTACTGGCTCCTCTGTATCCCTGGCCCCCTGAGTGTCCTGTTTTTGAAAGCACGTCATCAAAAGCATTTTGAGGTTTTATTGGAATTTTTTTTTTTTGACAGTGCTGGGTAATGAACTCAAGCCCTCACACATACAAGTCTGATGATTTTTGTTGTTGTTTGGCTTTTTGGGGTCACACTCGGAGATGCTCAGGGGCTATTCCTGCCTCTGCACTCAGGAATTACTCCTGGCGGTGCTCGGGGGACCATTTGGGATGTCAGGGATCGAACCCGGGTCGGCCATGTGCAAGGCAAATGCTCTACCTGCTGTACTATAACTCAAGCCCCCTAAAAAGCTAATGCTCTACCCTGAGCTACACAATTCCCATGTTTCATATTGTTAAAATCCTTTTATGGATAGTGGGCTACAGTGTGTCTTGGTACTGAATCACTGAAGGCCATGATGTTCTTGCACAGAACAAAATAGGTTGGTTCGTCTTGAAGTTCTTGAGAGTAACGAGTCATTACCAAACTGTCAGAGTGGGGAAGGAATGTTCTTCCCAGGCCACTGTTACCCTGTTCCTCCTTGGATTCGGGGGAGGAGAATGCTTCCCCGTCAGCAGGGGTGAGCATATCACACCTGTCATCTGTATTCATAGCATGCTATCCCTGCTCCCTTCAGTGCGTGAAGGCCATGGTCGCCACAGACTAAAAGGTGAGCTGGGAATACAGACCTTGTGAGTTGTGGGCTCTGTGAATGTGGAAATCAGCCCTAGTGAGGTCCCCTGACAGGAGGTGTTGTAGAGCTCTGTCAGCGTGGCAGGCTGCACACTTAACCTTTCATAAGTTATATATACAATGAGACTAAACTGTTTATTACTAGGACTAAAAAAAATTTCTAAAAAAATTTTCTAAAGTGGTAACTGGAGCAATAGTACAGTGGGTAGAGCGTTTGCCTTGCACGCGGCCGACCCGGGTTCGATTCCCAGCATCCCATATGGTCCCCCTGAGCACCACCAGGAGTAATTCCTGAGTGCAGAGCCAGGAGTAAGCCCTGAGAAATGCTGGGTGTGACCCAAAAAGCAAAAAATAAAATAAAATAAAATTTCTAACATGGTAATTATTGTCACATGTTTTCAACAGTGTGGACATTCTTGGTGTTGATGTACACAGACACCACACTGCCCTACCACCAGAAGTGCCCAAAACCCTTCAGCAAT